TGCACCCTCTGTAGATGAGTAATGTATGATGCACTGATCCCTATATAAAGTGCATTACAGTAATCCAGCTGAGTGCAAACAAAAGTGTGGATAACTGTCTCAAAGTGTGCTGTGAAAGAATTGGCTTTATTTTAGCCAGCTGCCTGAGCTGAAAGAAGCTTGATTTTGCCTTAATCCGACTGTCAAGCTTCAGTTCAGTCCACTTTGACCCCCAGGTTTGTGACAGTTGGCTTAACATACTGGGCCAAGGTATCTAAATACACATTTGGGGTCTCAGTGGGGCTACCAAAAACCATCACCTCAGTCTTTCTGTCATTGAATTTTAAAAAGTTAAGAGACATCCAAGCCTTGATTTCATCAAGATACTGAAGTAATGGTGTGTGAAATATGTGCCTTTTTTCTTTAGAGGGACATAGATCTGACAGTCCTCAGCATAAAAGTGCAATGCAATGCCGTGTTTTCTCAGTATAGGACCAAGAGGGATCAGATATTAAAAAAAGAGGAGGGGGACCTAGAACTGAGCCCTGTGGGACACCACAAAAGAGAGGAGTGGAGGACGACACATGGTTACAGAGACTGACACAAAAAGTTCGCCCTGCCAAGAAAGAACTGAAACACTCCTAATGCCCACCCAGTGCTCCAAACGAGAGAGTAAAATGGCATGATCCACTGTATCAAACACAGCTGTCAAATCTAAAAGCACAAGAACAACACAGTCCCCAGAGTCATGTCAAATCATCTTTGAGCAAAAAACTGAACCCCGAAATGCCCTGGATGCATCAATCAGCAGTGGTTTTAGTGTTATATATTATAACTTTATGTAGTACTCATCATGAGTACTACATAAAGTTCTGATTTTTTTACCTCCTGTATTCCTATTTGACCACACCATTTTAAGTTCCTGCTATATTCCACAATATACCTGCCTCTGTCTCCTCCTCTCTGCATGTGAGCTCTTCTCGTCTTCTTTCAGATTATCTTTCTCAAGTATTCAGCATTCCAGCTTTCTTATCCCTCTTGTTGTCTGGCCCTGTTATGTCTCCGAGTGTCTTGTTGAACTTATTTCCTGTGTACCAAACCTTAATTTATGGCAGGGAATATCATCTATTTGGGGAGTGCATCTCAGTTGTTTGTAGCAAAATCTACATGAAGCACGATGACCCTACGCACAGTGAATGCAGACTCTTTGAGAATAACAAAGGTATTTTTCTAGTTGCAGAATGGAAACATGCACGCCGGAGGTTTACCACAAAAAAAGAAAAAAGAAAGAAAAAGTCCCCAGTATCAATGTTAGCTTTGACTCTGACCACCTTTAACCACTTCTTCACGACTCTTATTTCCTCTTTTCACTCTCGTCTGTATAGAAAAATAGGCCAACATAAAGAACAGAGGCTGATTTAAGCCTTTACAGACGTACTGAACAAAAAACTAAACTTGAAAAATAAAAACTATTTCAGCTCAAACTTGATAATTCTGGTGTTCTCCTACCTAAAACAATAAAGCATCTTCATATGAAATAAAAAGGTTGGGTTGAGTAATAAAAGAAACTACTGCCAGATACATTCATTCTGTGTTTTATTTTTTATTGAACACACTCGCTGGATGGATGCAGTTTCAGTATTTTGCTCCATCACAGTTTACCATGTTTACTGACAGAGCTGGATGCAATGAGAGATTTTTCACCTGCATTCTTCGTCTGGTATTAACATTCACCCTGCGTCAGTGATTTTGTTATTTAACTGAACTGAACTCAAGAGGCCCAGGTTGGTTTTATGAATCTAAATGCATTTTATTTTTCGATTGTATTGTGTACTTGGAATTTTCATTTATCATAATTTGCTTTGAAACCATCATAGAAATATGACAATTTTAATTTTAAACGAATTACTATCCTATAATATTAGCCATATACATTTATTTCCATTTCACTTTGTCTTTTTCTTATTTGGTGCGGCCAAAGAAAGAAGAAGAACACAAAATAATCACATTCATGCATTCATTATGAAGATAAAAAGGTTTTACTCACCTGTAGAGAAAGACAGCCAGTGTGATGCAACACAGAAGGAATCCAATTGCAGGTGGGAGTATGTATAGAAAATACTCTGATGAAGTGGATTCTGTATCAAAACAGCAGTGAATTAATTTAAAATGCTTGGTTGACCTTTGCTAGAATTGACTGGATCTGCTTTTTGTCTACCTACCTTTGGGGTTCTCAGACACAGTCAAATTCCATGTAAAGCTGTGTAGGCCACGTTTGCCTGTTATGTTACATGTGTAAAGTCTTTCATCTTCAGGCTGAGCGCTAAAAATAACGAGCTTTGTAGGAAACTCGTGATTTATTTTCAGTCTATGCAATGAGAAATTTGAATAGGTGCGATTCAGCTCAATGGAATAATGAAAACAGATCTTTTGTTAGTCCAGGTGATCAGTGCTGCATTTGTCATGGATATGTTGAAAGTCAGCGTCACTGAGTCTCCTCGGGACACCAGCACAGCTCTGTGGTCGTCTTTAACGATCTCTATAGTTTAAAGGAGACAATCATTCAATATAAAATTCTATCTGCACTTCATCTGTAAAAAAGTGAATCTCAAACACAAATGTGCTCTTTACCTGCAAAGACATCCCACATCACTAACAGCTGAACGAGGAGCAGTGCTGCTCGATTTATAGTGAACATCGTGATCATCAGACAGAGAGAGAAACAGACGTGAACTTCACCGTCAGCTTTATTTGTATATGAGGAGGAGCCGCAAAAAAAGAGGAAGTGGTTTGTTGCAGTTAAACTCAACACAAATATGTGAGTCACCTTTTTTGAGAAAATACATGGAAAAATACATGTTACATGGGAGTAATTTATACAATATTTCAGATTCACAACAAACTGTCACAGTTCAAACATGGAAAGTGAAGTGGGAATATAATTATATGACAAATAATTGTCTCCTATAATTTAGTCTCTCGTGTGACTCACTTGTGTAGAGAGGCAACTTTGAACTGCAACACTACATCACCACCTCGGAAAATGACACCCAAATACTGTGGTGTGCTTTTACATTGTAAAGTTGGACTGATTGGTTTAATGAAGTAAAAACTGTGTATTTAGGAAATGAATTTCAGAAAGTTGAAGATCTCAAAGCAAAATGAAGGGACCCAAAATTTCCCAAAGTTAGAAATCATATCAGTCACCTCTACCACTGACATTTCTTCTTTTCAGTGTTTTCTTTGGCTCATTCATTCATTTTAAAAATACCAACAGTTTGGGGTGCTCACTAAATTAATACATTTTATTTTCTAATTGAAGAATTTCTCAAGTTTGAATCTTTTATCAATAAAATGAAAGTTCATTTTACCCATTTTGTCTGCACTCAATCACACATTTTATTTATTAGAATTTTTATTTCATTGTACAGTTGGATTTCTTTTAAATCTTTCACAAAATATTAACTCAATATACTTCACATAAAATGCTTCTCAGATTGTTTAAACTGAGTCATCACATTTTTGTGATGTTAAAAACCACTAATAATAAACATCTCGTTCTGTAAATCCCAGGTATTCATCTTAGACACACAAAGGTTAAAGGCCACCTTTTAAATCACATTTATCCAGTTATCACTAACCAACTTGTCAACTTAATAATATAAATATAATCAACTGTCACAATCTGCTGGCTATTTAAAAACATTACATGTTCCACTTGTTACATATATTCATATATATTCTACATTTATGCATTCAAATGTCGTTCATAAGAAAGAATCTTACAGATCAAGTTTGAAAATATGCCACTATGTATGTTAATATACTAATGTGTATGTTTATCAAACTTATTTTAAACTATGGATTGCTTTTCTTAAAAAGCACATTTTACCTGTAGCATAACTTAAGCAGTTAAGTGAGGATCAAGTTCAGTCATATTAATAAAATATAAAGTGCTCAGATTTAGAGAGATTTACTAAAAAAAAGAATAAAATTGGTACTCAGTGAGCAGAAATTTGATCAAATAAAAAGTTGAAAGGCTGGATTAGTATCTATTAAATGTCACAGTGATTAACAGTGTATCTCGGTTGGACACAATTTCAAGAATCATCCTTTTCAATAAGCAATCCAATTGTAGGTGGGAGTCTGTATAGAAAATACTTTGATGAAATGGTTTCTGTATAAAATTAGAAGCGATGAAGAACTGTAGGTCACTTGTAATGTCGCATGTATAAATGTCCATTCCATCCATCCATTCGCTTCTGCTTATCCAGCTGTCATAGGGCGAGAGGCGGGTTACACCCTGGACAGGTCGCCAGTCTGTCGCAGGGCCAACACACAGGGACAGGCAACCATTCATACTCACATTCACACCTAGTAGTAATTTTGGATTATCCAATTAACCTATCCCCACAAGCTGCATGTCTTTGGACAGTGGGAGGAAGCCGGAGTACCCGGAGGGAACCCACGCAAACACGGGGAGAACATGCAAACTCCACACAGAAAGACCCCGGCCTCATGGTGGAGTTGAACTCAGGACCTTTTTGCTGTGCGGCAACAGTGCTAACAACCGTGCCACCGTGCTGCACCATGTATAAATGTCTTCAGTGAATAAAATAAATTTAAGGGTTCATGAAGTTTAATCACATAATATTTCAACATACAAATAATATAATATGTCAGTCTTAAACAGTCACTTAAAAACTGGGAGGTTGATTTAAGGTACAGTGTGTAGCTGTAATCTCACCACTAGATGTCAGTAGATAGCAGATTGCAGTCAAATTAATTCTGTGTTTAATTCTCCTCTCATTTCAAGTACATTTAGGGGGGTAGTGTGAATGCTGCAGGCCAAACAACTATAACCGCTGTTTATGTGCAGTGATTCTAGCAGAAGGAAATATTGAAAATCCAAGAGATTATTGTTTTATCTTTTTTTTATTGGATATGCTGCAAGTCAACATCACCAAGTGTCTTGTTGACAACAACACAGCTCTGTACCACTCTCTGATGTAAAGACAAAATAAAAAAATCAATACAAAAATACAAAATGTAAAAACAGAATAGCTAAACTCCAAAAATGTTCATTAACATAGAAAACGTTTGTTCATTTGCTAATTATTACTAAATATTTAAGGACATTTTACTAAACAAACATCCGCTACATCCACATTAATGAACAATAAAAAATTATTATTATTATTATTATACTCAAAATTATGGCACACATATTAAAAAGTATTTCTGTGGGGCAAACAGCAAACGTCTGCACTTTACACTTAATTATTTCTGCAGTGAAACTTCTTTAAAATGCTTAAAAGCAACAAAGAAAACAAAATAATGAACACAAATTACAACACTATTCCCTAAAATCCTGCACAGAGAGTGACCTGCCTTGGTGGAGGTCTGAATTTCCTGAGTGTCTTTTGTTGGAAAATGGTTCAGAGAACTTCAAATCATGTATAAATAAATATACTTACCTATACAGACAAAAGGCTAAAATAAAATTTGGTAGACAAAATTTGAGAGTATTAAAGATGATGACGATCTTCTGATCTCTTCTCTTGACTGAGGGAGAAACTGATCCTGATTCAGTGTCCTTATCATTATTTTTCTGCAAAGTAAAGCAATAATGACTCTGACACTCACTAGTCTCCTTCATTCTGCTTAGTGCACAATCCCAGGATATGGTGAAACCCTCCATGCATGGTATGGATGGACTTGTAGCTGTCCTTGATGTCTGCATTGTTGCCTTCTGCCAGTGCAGTTCGCTCAGTTCTGCTTTCCCTCTCTTTGTTACCATCTCACTACACTTCTCCAGTCAGTATGACATCACAGTGTCATTGCTGTATATCCTAGTGGTATGGATCAGTGAGTCTATGTCTCGTTCACTCTTGGCATACAGCTTGATGTCATCCATATAGTTGTGGTGGCTGATGATTGCTTGATTGTGTAGTTGATATCCCTAGCCAGTCTTGTTGATGATCTGGCTAAGGGGATTCAGACCTTCCACACTTGACCACGCACTTGGCTTCAAGTTGGCCTCTAGCATTGTTCACCACATCCCCACTGAATTCCCGATGAAGGCTCTTAGGGTCCTGTTGTTCTTGTATTTCTAGGCATTCCAGGATCTGTGTGAGTCATAGGCTTTCTTATAGTCAGTCAATAGGTTGACAGTACATAGGTTCATGAACCTGGTCTTATACTCACAGATGAAGAAAAGCACTTCTGTCAAACTAAGTGCTCTCAAAGTTGTTACAGCAAAGATCCTTGAGATATAAAAGCTCCCTGGATGGTGATGGATGGTTGGAACTGCTGCGCTCACAGGCAGAGTCATTTGTCTGAGCTGAAGCTGAGGGTATTATAGCCCGGGTGTCCTGCCTCTGATGGCGTTCCCTTTTAGTTTCTGCTCTGACACTGTTCATGTCTGTCAGGAACTGGAAGGTTTTTCAGTTGATCATAGATTGAAGTGATCATAGATTGAATTCAGTCTCTCCATATACTGACTCCTCTGTCTGTTGTTTTTGCAATTAGTGCTGCCACCCTGTGGTTGAGGGAGAGATGTCTATGAAGACAAAGTACAGACTGTACAAAGGCAGAGACATGTGACAGTGTTAAAGATGGCAACAATCTTCTGACCTCTTCTCCTGACTGAGGAGGAATCTGATCCTGGACGGCATCCTGATTTAGTTTCATCATCATGCATTTTCTGCAAAAAAAGAAGTGACCAATAATAAAATCTTAGAACACCGCCCGGTGTTTCAGTAAGATAGGATGAGTAAACACTGCCTCATAATGACTAGAATAAACACAAAACATATTCTTTTTTTTTGTTTCCTTCCTTTGAAAATTTTCTGATAGTGGATTATTTATAGTGAAAATTATAAATATCTGTTGCTGTTTTTTGATATTTACCAAATTAGAGGTATGAATTATGGGTGATATGTATGACACACACTTTTAATCGCACAATACATAATCTGACAGTTCATAGCAAAGAAAAATGTGAAAATTGTCTTTGAAAGTGAATGTAAACAGTTGCGTATACAGTTATTGTGTTTTTCAGTCCCATTACTGACACATCCCAGTTCTTTTGTCATTACTGTGGTTATTGCAATAATAGGGTTGAATTTTGGAACATCCTGTTATAACAGGATATAATATTCCCAATACAAATGAAAATAGCTAAAGTAATACCACCAGTTCATAAATTACAAGCCTGTTTCTCTACTTTCACAATTTTCAAAAATACTGGAAAAAGTTTTCATTAACAGACTTGACAAATTCATTGATAAACTTCAAATAATAATGGACAGTCAGTATGGTTTCAGACCAAACAGATCAACATCCACGGCATTAACTGAACTAATTGAAAATATCATTAATAATATAGTTCAAAGAAAATGCTCAGTTGGAGTTTTTGTTGACCTAAAAAAAAAGCTTATTATTTGATAGACAGACAACAATTTGTGAAGATTGGTGAATATCAATAAGAGTGCCTGGACAGTGTTTGTGGCGTTCCACAGGGGTCAGTATTGGGACCAAAACTGTTTATCCTGTACATCAATGATATATGTAAAACATCTGATATATTACAGTTTGCTTTATTTGCAGATGATACAAATATTTTTTGTGCTGGAGAGAATTCACGGATTTTGGAAATTGTCACACAAGAAATAATTAAACTGAAAATGTGGTTTGATAGCAATAAGTTATTGCTAAACTTGAATAAAACTACATTTGTGTTATTTGGAAATTGTAAAAGAGATGCTGGAGCAAATTGTTGATAAATAATGTTGAAGTGGAGCAAGTTTCTCATACAAAATTTCTGGGTGTGATAATAGATAACAAATAGATAACATTATGTAAAACTCCGAAAAAAGCAATCGGGATGATTACTAAAGTAGGATTTAGAGACTACACTAACATTATGTTCTTAAAATTGAAAATCCTGAGGCTTATGGATCTTATAAAATAAAAAACAGCAGAGATTATGTACAAAGCCAGATATAATATGTTACCGGGAAATGTACAAAGGATGTTTTTTGACAGAGAAGAGGACTATGATTTGAGGGGAACATTTAATTTGAAGACTCTTAAAGCACAGACAAGAGTTAAAACCTTTTGTGTTACCATTTGTGGAGTAAAACTGTGGAACAGTTTTCCTGTGGGTACAGCAATGTTCAAGCATTAGTCCGTTCATAAAGATGTTTTGAAACGTGCTTTTGGAAGAATATGAAACTGATAAAGCTGATGAAGATAGTATATATAACTATGCTAAATTGTATCTGAATTATATCTATCACTGTAGCTATGGTTATACATGTCCTTCAGCCTGTCTTTATTGTGTGGGGCTAGTGATGAGGGGAAGTTGGGGTAACATCGAATATGTTGATTCAATAGAGTGTTGAGCGTGGGGTAGGGATTAATAAGTAAGTACATACGTCTTCCTACTGCATTTTGGACTTACAGTGGTATGCAAAAGTTTGGGCACCCTTGATAATTTTCCTTCGTAAATCACTGGCTATTTGGATCAGCAATTTCATTTAAATATATCATGTAGCAGATGAACACAATGATATTTTATTGTCACTGTTACAAGAACAATGAAAGGCAGTTTGGCATCTCTCCATGTGTGTGAAGTACACAGTAGCTTAAGTATTAAGTAAGTAGATGTTCCTTTTACAGAAATAACAGCCTCTAAACACTTCCTATAGCTTCCAATGAGAGTCTGGATTCTGGTTGAATGGATTTTGGACCTTTCGTCTTTACGAAACATCTCCAGTTCACTCAGGTTTGATGGTTTCTGAGCATGGACAGCCCGCTTTAGGTCACACCATAGATTTTCAATAATATTCAGGTCTGGGGACTGAGATGGCCATTCCAGAATGTTGTACTTGATCCTCTGCCTGAACGTCTTAGTAGATTTTCAAGAACCTGCTGATACTGACTGGAATGCAACCCTCAACTTTAGCAAGATTCCCAGTACCTGCACTTCAGCCCCACAGCATGATGGAACCGCCACCACATTTTACTGTGGGTAGCAAGTGTTTCTCTAGGAATGCTGTGTTCTGTTTCCACCATGCATACCGCCTCTTGTTATGTCCAAATAACTCAATTTTAGTTTCATCAGTCCACAGCCCCTTATTCCAAAATGAAGCTGGCTTGTGTCACTGGCTTGCACAGTGACACCATCTGAAGCAAGATGATGTTGTAGGTCTTTGGAGCTGGTCTGTGGGTTGACTCTCACGATCCTTCGCCTCTACTTATCTAAGATTTTTCTTGACCTGTCACTTCCAGCCTTAACTAGAACTGTGCCTGTGGTCTTCCATTTCCTCAATATGTTCCTCATAGTGGAAACTGACAGCTGAAATCTCTGAGATAGCTTTTTGTATACTTCCCCTAAACCATGATGTTGAGCAGTCTCTGTTTTCAGGTCATTTGAGAGTTGTTTTAGGCTCCCATGTACCCACTCTTCAGAGAAGACGCAAAGAGGAGAAAAACTTGCAATTGGCCACCTTAAATACGCTTTCTCATGACTGGATTCACCTGTGTATGCAGGTCAAGGGCCAATGAGCTTACCAAACAAATTTTATGTTCCAATAATTAGTGCTAAATGTATTCAAATCAATAAAACATCAAGGGTGGCCAAATTTATGCACCAGACTAATTTAGTTTAAGTAACTGTTGCACACTTTCTATTTATATATATATATATATATATATATATATATATATATATATATATATATATATATGTGTGTGTGTGTGTGTGTGTGTGTGTGTGTGTTGCAGTATTTGAACGGTGTAATTTATTTAACACAATGAAAGTACGATAGACATTACTCACACACAATATTAAAACCACCTGCTCAGCATTGTTTCGATCCCGTTTGTCCACCAAAACATTCATAAAACAGAATAATTCAGCTTGTTCTGCTACCTCAGTCCTCAATCTGATACAGATCTGAGGAGGTTTTAAGGTTGAATATCTGAGGTTCTTGATTGAGTTCTCAAGATGTTCTTCAGAGCAGCCTGTGAATTAGGAGAGTGGGCAGTCTACTAATTCACAGGTTTATTGTTTGATCTAGAGTTCCCTCAGTCCACATGTGAAGTTGTCTTTGAGCAAAATACTGAACTCCAAATTACTGTGCATGCATCAATAATCACAAATTATATTAGATTTTTAAGCATAGTATACACGAGTGAATGCAGTTTGTTGTATAGGTATGCAGTAAAATTGAGGTCACTGCCACTGAAGTATGAAACCATTGTGCATTTTTAGTGTGTTTATTTTCTGTTCCTGTTTTATTTTGTACTCCTCATTGGCTCTCATTTTTGATCTTTCACTTCCTGTATTCCTGTATTACCCCACCCATGTGAAAATCTACATGAATGGAAGGACTCAAAGATTGTATTCTCCAAACAGAGACAACATACACATGAGACCCCATATAACCTCTGGGATCAAGACCTAACCCTAACCCACTATGCAAAGTGATATTGGAGTCACGTTTTTCATATGTCATTTTTGGACGTCAAATTTTGATACACACTGAAGGGGTTGTTTTGTAATGTCTGATGTTGATGTCCGTAGGCCCGCCATGTACAGGCTATTTATAGTCCAAATGTGGTCGTTGTGGACAGATCTTATTTTTATACTGCTTCTGTAGTCCCATGTTTCCAGAGGGTGGAGGGCATGTTTCCTACAGGCTAGGAAGTTATTGGAAAATGATCTAGAAAAGTATAACACTTTCTGAAATGGGATTGATCATAACAGTTATGTATGAAGGAATGCAGAGCGATTAGCGGACATCTCCAAGATGACGCAAGCTCTTGAGCTAAAACAAAAGTGCACATCTATAAAACATCCAGTGTTTAGTGGGACGACGTCTTCTTTGTTATTTTAATGGGTTTTTTTCCAAATGTATGATGAATCTGTACAGAATGAGTTCAGCTTGCATTCTTTTGTAGTTGTAGGATGTAAATGTACATGTTGGCGAAGGGTTGCCTCAGAGAAAAGTGAATGACAGCTTTGACTCTAACCACTTTTAGCCAGTTCTTTACTACTGTCATTGACACTTTTTGCCTTGTTGTATATAACAATAGCCCCCCTGCAAGAAAGCACAGCGGGCTGATTCACAACTTTAAATTCAGAGCAGGTTTGCGGTGCTTACAGAAGTAGTGAAAAAAAAAGTCTGAGCTCTTTCATCCTTGAAGTTTTCAAAGATAGATAATAATACATCATCTTATTAAATAAAAACTTGCATTTAGCAATGAAAAAGATCTGAGCTTTGTGCAATGAGGCACTGAGCCTGTGATCACTAATGTAATGATTTGCTTTAAAAACATCATAGAAATATGACAATATTAATCATCACATCTATGAACGCAATGGTATAAGCCACAATATCACATTTCTATTTCCCTCTTTACTTATTTAAAACAAACTTTAAACACTTTCAATGTAGGAAATAGAAAATAGGAAAATAGTGCTTTATAATCCAATCAGTCATACATGTACTGAGAACACTTCTACAGACAAACAAAAAATAATCACATTCATAAATTCATTATGAAGATAAAAAGGTTTTACTCACCTGTAGAGAAACACAGCCAGTGTGATGCAACACAGAAGGAATCCAATTGCAGGTGGGAGTATGTATAGAAAATATTTTGATGAAGTGGATTCTGTATCAAATCAGCAGTGAATTAATATAAATTGCTTGTTTGACCTTTACTAGAAGTGATTATTCCTGTTTGTTGTTCTACCTACCTTTGAGGTTCTCAGACACAGTTAAATTCCATGTAATGCTGTTTACGCCACTTCTGTCTGTTATCTTACACGTATAAAGTCCTTCATCTTCAGGTTGAGCGCTAAAAATAACGAGCTTTGTAGGAAACTCGTGATTTATTTTCAGTCTATGCAATGAGAAATTTGAATAGGTGCGATTCAGCTCAATGGAATAATGAAAAACAGATCTTTTGTTAGTCCAGGTGATCAGTGCTGCATTTGTCTTGGATATGTTGCAAGTCAGCGTCACTGAGTCTCCTCGGGACACCAGCACAGCTCTGTGGTCGTCTTTAACGATCTCTATAGTTTAAAGGAGACAATCATTCAATATAAAATTCTATCTGCACTTCATCTGTAAAAAAGTGAATCTCAAACACAAATGTGCTCTTTACCTGCAAAGACATCCCACATCACTAACAGCTGAACGAAGAGCAGTGCTGCTCGATTTATAGTGAACATCGTGATCATCAGACAGAGAGAGAAACAGACCTGAACTTCACCGTCAGCTGTATTGATATCTGAGGAGGAGCCGCAAAAAAAGGAAGTGGTTACTTGCTGTAGAGTTGAGCTCTGAACTAATGTATGTGAATGTATCACCATTTGTTGAAGCGATAATTTACATTTAAGTAATGTATGCAATGATTCAGAATTGTCACAACTGAAGTATATTTCTTCCAGAAACTTAACACAATTATATTGCAATTAATTTCCTCTTGTAATTTAGTCACTCATGTCATAAATGGAAAATATAAGCTGCACCTGAGTAAAGGAGCATTTTTCAACTGCTAAAACTGCATCTGCATTGTTAATCAGTCTTTACCCACCAGATAAAAACTGGACCTGCAATGATTTTCTTGCATTGCTCAGTTTGTGACACAACTGTGATTGTTCTGCTTTATGACTGTGAAGTAGAACAATTAACAACAGCAGGTCATTTTTATGGAATACATTTAGATATGTCATAATCAATAGTTCACTGTTACGTGACTCAATAAAGAATTATTATTAACATTAATGTGTTTTCTATTAACAGACATGTATAAATATTCATTAGCAGCTGACTGATGACATTTCATCTCAGGACTGTGTGATTTTGAACAAACTGTTCTTGTGTAGTGACTTCCTGACTTTCTGCTTTTGCTGTGTTGCACGTGTTCTGGTGAAAATGTGAATGTTTTGAGAGCTAAATAACTAAACGTTATCAGGACCTTTCAGGCTCTAACTGATAATGTCAGCGATAATGTCTAAAAGGATCTGCTTAAACATCATAGATTGAATTCAGCCTGCCACCTCACTGGTGTGTTTGTTATTTTTACAACAAGCAGTGCCACCCTGTGGTTGAGAGAGTTGCTGCCTATAACATGACAAACATCTTCTGTTCTCTTCTCCTGAGGGAAACTGATCCTGCTTCAGTGTCCTCATCATAATTCTTTCTGCAGAGTAAAAGTAGTGACCAATAATAATATCTTAGCACTTTCCAGGTGTTTCAGATACCTAAATATATGAGATAAGATTAGTAACACTGCCTTATAGTGATTAGTATAAACACAAGAGATTTTTTTTCTGTCCTTCACTGTGAGGATTTGATGATAACGATGATTTTTATGGTGCACGGGTTCTGGTGAGAATGTGAATGTTTTCAGAGCACAATAGCTAAACCTTAGCAACACCTTTCAGGTGTTAAATGTAGAGTGTAAAACCACAGTTGCAAGAGTCAAACACACCTCCTCTTGCTGTGTATAATGCTCCCCTTAAGCTTTGTTTGATAACTGAATTAAAAACTGTTTCATTAGAAACCCTGGTGATGTCAGTGACATAAGTCTCTTTACACAATCACACATATTGTCCCACTATTGACACTCTGGTTACCACCTCAAACTTTTTTGTTTTTATGGTTTTTGTATGTTGTTTGTTTGTTTTTTTGGTAATGCATTTGAAAAACAAAAACAAATTTCATAAACTTAGTGTGTGAAATTAAGAAAGCTGTGTCCCACAGGTCTGAGGTGAATAGCCACATTGCTATAAGCTGATGGGACGGAAACAGTAACTCAAATAACCGTTGATTACAGCTGAGTTATGCAGAAGAGCATCTCTGAGCACATGATATGTCAAACTTTGAAGTAGATGGGCTACAGATCACACCAGTTTTCACTCCTGTTAACTAAGAACAGGAAACTGAGGCAACAGTTAGTACTGGCTCACCACAGCTGGGCATCCAAAGATTGGTGAAATGTTTCCTGATGAGTCTCTATTGCTGTTATATCCAAATAATAATGGATACTTTATGGTGGTGGCTATAACATGGTGGATCCGTGCTGCCTTTATCAGCAGTTGGCTGAGGAAGGCTGCTGGTGTTGTAATGGTGGGAGGGTCTTTGTAAAAACTGAGCGAAATGTCCACAGCCAAGATGAGTATTTTTTGTCCACCCCTTTATGACCACAGCGTACCCAATTTCTGGTGCTGGCTTCCAGCAGCGTAACGCACCAAGTCCAAATCTTGTCAAACTTTTTTTTTAAACATGAAAATGTGTTCAAGGTACCAAATGCCCTCCACAGCTTCTTGTGGAGCTTCCTGTGAAGGGCATTTGAGACTTCCTGCCATTCAGGACATTTATCTTCAGCGATGCCTCCATAAAGCACACAGCATCATCAAGGACGACAGCCACCCAGCACATCAGCTCTTCTCCTTGTTACCATCTGGCAGACGTTACAGGAGCCTGTCGGCTCGGACTACAAGACTTAAAAACAGTTTCTACCATCAAGCCATACGACACCACAACACTTAAACACACACAACAACTCCACAGGACGCACTCAGAAGCTACCCTGCAGCTTCACAAGTACTCTGTTTAATCTGCACTGGTCACTCCACTTTATTGATATTTATATTTTAAAAAAAGTGCAATACTGTAACAACTGCCATAAAAAACAAAAACTTTTGTACTGTTTAGTACTTATTTCTGTGCAATATCCCATCTGCCCCCCCCATTCCTATTTAAGATTTTCTTTAGTTAATCACTAGTGTGTACATATATTTATATATATATATACACACATATATATATATTTAGTCAGTTAACTGAAAATCCTTTTCCTTTACTACATTTTATTAATATTTTGCTCTTTACTATTTTTCTATTTATTTTTTATTAATTTATTTTATTTTTTTCTACTGTACCATTCTACTGAGTGACTGTCTTCTGCTCGTCAAATACATTTCATTGCGATGTTGACCCTGTGCTAACTTGCATATGACAAATAAAACTGAAACTGAAACTGAACTGAACAGTTAGCATGTCTGTTGACCAGAGCACTTTTAAGATGTGGTGGGATGGTAAAGTCACATCAAGGAGCTTACAAATCCGCACAAATATGCTATCATGTTCAACCAAAAGCCCATCACCCCTGTTGCCATGAAGAATTAGATTAGCTCTGAAACAAAAATTACCATCTAATCTGATACTAACAAGGTGTACCTAATAAAGTGGCCAGCTAATAGTGGTCAGTTAAGTTGTATATTCGCAATAAAACTGAGGTTTTCTAGATTTTCAAAATAATGTTAAACATTGTATATGTGTTTGAATGCAAGTGTGCGTGTGTGCGTGCGTGCGTGCGTAACACTCTTCAACGTATGATTTCCATCTTTGTGGCCTTGCTGTGGAAAATGACACCTTATCGTGCATTCTGCTCTACTGCAGGTTTAAAGTGAGGAAAGAAAATGTTTTTAAAAACCTTATATGTTCAATGAAAATGGTGTTAGATAATGCAAAACCTGATAAATAACTGAACCCGTTTGAAAAGTCTAATCAGATCCCAAAATGACTCACTAATTAGGAAACTATGTGTTATGAGTAACAGCCTGCATGACATACAAAAATGACTTTTGTCTATCCACCACACATGCAGAACAAGGGTCTAGCAGTACAGAAGGTGCTTCTCGTTTCCTTTATTTCTGCCCACACACAGGGTCTCACACTGCAAAGAAAGAGTACAAACAGGAAATTCACACTTTTCAAAGGTGTTGGAGAAAAACACTATCAGTATATTTTAGTTATTATAGCCTCATCGTGAATCACAGGTATGCTAAATATAAACATGTCATTTTTCTTCTACTAGGTGTTGTAATCGATTCCAATTAATGTTCATTTTATCAATAGATCACAGTGTTTGTTATTATTCTCAGAAACAAGTCCACTACAGCATCAGGTACACTAAAGACAGAGGAAGTTCTTTAATCGTATTGTGTGGCTGCAGATCGAGCTCTAATCACCTTTCTCCTACCTCACAGGCAAAGCACAGTGTGCACCGTGTGCTTTCAATGAAAACAAATTCTGTTACTAAACTCGGAAAATGTGCATCAAAAACTTGTGCTGTACCTGTGAGGACATGGCACACAGCTAAGCATGAATTAAAGAGAATGTCTGATTGATCTGGATCAAACATGATTACAGACAGACAAAGTGAAGCTTCACTTCTATGTGTGCTTTTCAAGGTGATGCCAAGAACAGGAAGTGGTTACTTGCAGGGGACAAAAAAGCAGTTCATTTAACGATGCATGAAGTTTAAGCACATGACAAATTAAATCATAATCAATATAATATTTAAACAATAATTCGATATAAACTAGTTATAAACAAAACATTATGTAATATATAACTATTACAACAAGTGTTCCGGGAGCACAAACCTCCACCAAGGGAGCAGTTTTTACATTTAAGGGGATAGTACTTTTATGAAAGTTTGACCCTATTTCACTCATATCCTTTATATGTTGTCAACACAACCAATGGTAGCAATAAACAAAGTTTTAAACAGCTCCGTATTACACTTGTAAGAATCATCATTAAGTTGACCTTGAAGGGCTCAGTGGACATAATCAAAATGTTAAAGGATCGTTAACATGACCCCACTTGTGAAGGTTTTATCAGAATTTCTTTCAAGTTATTTTGTTTACAGATGGAATAACACTCACACACACACACACACACACACACACACACACACACACACGCACGCTATAAAAAAAAAATATACACAATCACTCTGGAACAAGCTTATAATGAAGACCTAGATGGAAAAAACATTAACGAGCTTGAGCTGAGAATACATTATTGTCATAACGTGAAAACTTTAAGGAAAATTCTTGAACATTTAAGTTACACTTGGAGTCGACTTGTTCTGATTCACAGTTTCATGTCATCCCTATTTATTTGGTAGACCTGCAGTTCATCCTGTCTCTGAAACAACATGTTTAGTTCCCTTCTCGTGTTCTTTAATACAAACCTTCTTCTAATTGGCTGCTTCGTGTAAGCAGAGGGATTTGTTCTATTGGCTATAGTAGCACCGTTGTCCTCCCTCTGATGGTGCCCCCTTAAAATCCCCTTCATTAAAACTTTTTGTGTGGATTGTTAATCTGCTTATACATTATCATAGATTGTATTCACCCTCTCCATATAGTGATGCCTCTGCTTTTTATTTTCACAACAAACAGCGCCACCCTGTGGTTGAGGAAGAACTGCCTACAAAGACAAAAAGAGAAAAATAAAAATCAGTGCAGGTTCTAAGATAGAAAATAAAGGCAGAGACATGTGAGTGACCATCTTCTGACCTCTTCTCCTGACTGGGGAGGAAACTGATCCTGGACCAGATCCTGATTCAGTGTCTTCATCACAATTTGCACATCCTACTGTAAGAAACACAAAGCATGCAATAAACACAAAACATTTGCCAATGTGAGAAATTAAGTAATAATTTTTTAACATCATAAATCTGATAAATACTGTTCAATCACAACATTAAAACTATCTGCCCAGTATAGCTCACCCCTTGTGCCACCAAAATGTCTATAAGCAGGACAAATGCGCGTGCTCTAGCACCTCTGTTATGACAACAGATTAATGTCTTTGTGTTCTCAAGATTTTCTTTAGCTGTGGCTCAGGTAGGTGCAGGTAGGTCTATTAATTTCCATGTTATTTGTTTAGTCCTGAGTTCCCTGAATGTCCTCATCAGGTCATCATGCACAAAATACCAAAAGCTAAACGGGCCTACAAGCCTCCCTTGGATGGAGTATATCAGATTTTTAAAAAGCATAAATGTGTCTGAATGCAGTTTGTTGTATGGAAATGCTTTTCTCAGTAAAACTGAAGTCACTGCCACCAAAGAGTACTTGTGAGAACCCTGCAGAAACTTTAGGCTGCATGTTTTGTTCCGTTTTCTTGCATTATTTCTGTTCCTGTTTTATTTTGTACTCATCATTCTCTCTCATTTCTCATCTTTCACTTCCTGCATTCCCTACCTTTGTGGTTTCCTCTCATAATGTGTTCTGTACCTGCCTCTGTCTCCTGTGGACTTATAAACTGTGAGTTCTTGTCCTCGCTGATAATCCTTGCATGTATTCAGCATTCAACAGTGCAGTCTTTCCTGTTGCATGACTCATATTTTGTTGGATTAGTTACCAAACCTTGATTTACAACAATAGATATCAGATATTTGAATATTTGATTCTGAACCTATGGATTCTGAGCTCTTTCGGTCTCTGCTCCATAGAAAGATACATCATCAAAAGGCTCTGATGGCTGATTTAGTTAATGAACACCAAACTACACTCCAGTTCTGTCTTTTATCTAATACGGTGCAACCTTCAAATATATTTCAAAAGCTGAACATATAACTGAGACTAAACGGTCTGGTCAACATAAAAAAAAATGATCATTTCTAATTTGGTGTAAAGTGGGAAAAAAAGACAAAATGTTACAAAACGTGTGAGATTATTGATCGAATCAGTCTAACCAGTCTTAAGCAGTACTGATTATTCAGAACTATCCTCGATTACATTCATGTATTCATTCTTACAATTAAGTAGTTAAAAGGTTTTACTCACCCACAGATAAAGACAGCTAGTGTGATGCCACATAGAATGATTCCAATTGCAGATGGGAGTATGTATAGAAAATACTTCGATGAAGCGGAATCTGTATAAAATCAGCAGTAAATTAATTTCAAGTGCTTGTTTGACCTTTACTAGAAGTGATTAGCTCTGTGTTTTGTTCTACCTACCTTTGGGGTGCTCAGACACAGTTAAACTCCATGTAATGCTGTATATGCCACTTCTGTCTGTTATGCTACATGTATAAAGTCCTGGATCTTCAGGCTGAGCACTAAAAATAATTAGCTTTGTAGGAAACTCACGATTTATTTTCAGTCTATGAAAAGAGAAATTTGAATGGGTGCGATTCAGCACATTGGAATATTGAAAAACACATCTGCTGTTGGTCCAGGAGACTAGGGTCACATTATTATGTCTCATATTGCAAGTCAGCGTCACGGAGTCTCCTCTGGACACCAGCAAAGCTCTGCGGTCGTCTTTAGTGATTCCTATAGTTTAAAGGAGTTAATCAATTAATATAGTCATCGGTAATGACAAATTTCGATAACAGGATGAACATAATTATGTCTGTACCTGCAAAGACATGCCACATCACTAATAGCGGAATGAGAAGTGCTGCTTGGTTCAGTCTAAACATCATGACCATCAGACTGAGAGAGAAAGAGAACTGAACTTCACGATCAGCTATATTTGTATCTGAGAAAGAGCAGCAGGGGAAAAGGAAGCGGTTAGTTATTGTATTGCTAAGAACTGCCTGCGTACTTTTTTCACACGAGACCAGGTACGAGGAGGAACCCAGGACCCCTGCACCAACGTCAGGTCTTACAGTGGGTCCAAGGATTTCATCCTTCATACGTAATGGCAGTCAGGGTGTCACTGTCTAGCCTGTATAGGTCTGTGCTTCCCATCCATGGCCATGCCTCCCTAGACCATCACTGACCCACCACCAAACCGGTGATGCTCCACAGCTTCTCCAGACCCTTTCATGTCTGTAACATATCCTTGGGATCATACTGCTCTAATCTGTGGAAAGCACAGGGCACCACTGGTGGATCTGCCAACTCTGGTCTTCTATGGCAAATGTCAGTCAGGCTCCACAATACCAGGCAGTGAGCACAAGGCCCATTAGAGGATGCCAGCCCCTCAGGCCACACTCATGAAGCTTCTGATTGTTCAGCCAGAGACATTCACACCAATGGTCTGGAGGTCATTTTGTAGGGATCCTGCAGTGCTTGGTGCTCTTTATGTTTAGTTATGTTATTTTATTTTTTTGAGGAGTCTATATAATGATTCCCTTCAGCAACAAATTGTAACAACTAAATTGAGTATAATTATAATTAAGTGTTCTCACTTAGTTTTCCCTTCACTAAATAAATGTATCTGTGTTGAAGATGCTCCAAATGTTATATTATATAAACCTATCAAGCTAATGGAAGTTTAAACTAAGTACAAGTTTAATATTGGTCTTGAGGTTCTAAATTATTTATGCCCCATCATGTGTGGGGCATAATTCTGATGGAAGAAATTATGACAACCGTGTCAAGCATGTGTAATTTCCTTCTTTGTGGCTTTGATGTGTGAAATGAGATATTATAGTAAACTTCGCTCTACTGCAGACTGAAAGTAAGCAAGGGGAAGTTCAGGGCAATCGGGTTTAGATAGATCACATACTGATCCATTGATTAATGATTAATTTTGAGTACTTTTAACTTTTCCATTCCAGCAAATGCAATGTAGACTAGAAAAAATTGCATTTCCTGCGAAAATGCTGTGTGGATGCCTTACGCTGAAGATTTCTGCTGAAAAAAGCAGAAAAAGTTGAAAAAACAAAAAACATTGCCCTGAGCGAGATTCGAACCTGGCCTTTCTGATCTATAGGCGGCGTCTCACCTTACTGGACCAAACTGATTCTTACAAAGAAGAGGTGGAGAGACTGACAATTCTGGTGAAATTAGCAGAAGCTGCTTAGTATTGTGCTAATAAGAGGTGAAAAGGCTAAACATTTAGCAGAAAAGAGGTGAATCAGAAGAAGTTCTGCTGAAAAGAGGTAAAGAAGCAAAAAGATGAGTTGAAAAGAGGTGTAGAAGTGCTTGCTGAAGATGGCTGTATGTGTAATGACACACTGGAGAGTGTCAAGAAAGCAGAGCGCATGCAAGCAGGGAACATGTGTAGCAACTGTCACAGGTAGGATTCGAAACTCTGCCCCCGGGTCTCACGGCAGCTGCCCTACCCTCTGAGCCAAATGAGTTCTGGTCTCAAGCAAATATATGATGAGAGAGAAAATGTGCACTGTGGAGCAGAAGCTCAAATTAGCAGAAAAGAGGTGAAGAGGAAGAACTTTGTTGTGAAATGAGGTAAAGAAACTGAAATTTGTGCTTAAAACAAGTGAAAAAGCTGAACTCTGAAATCCTGCTAAAACAGTAGTAGAGGCTGATATTTTTCAGCTACTCACTGAGCCAAACTGGTTCTCACGTAACTGAAAAAAGGTGGAAAAGCTTAAAATTCTAATGAAAACAGCAGAAGAGGCTAAGTGCACTGTGGAGCAGGAGCTCTAATTAGCAGAAAAGAGGTGAAGAGGAATAATTTCTGCTGAAAAGAGGTAAAGAAGCAAAAAGCCGAGTTGAAAAGAAGTGTAGAAGCAGAAGTGCTTGCTGAAGATGGCTGTATGTGTAATGACACACTGGAGAGTGTCAAGAAAGCAGAGCGCATGCAAGCAGTGAACATGTGTAGCAGCTGTCACAGGTAGGATTCGAACCTCTGCCACCGGGTCTCACGACAGATGCCCTACCCTCTGAGCCAAATGAGTTCTGGTCACAAGCAAAGATATGATGAGAGGGAAAATGTGCACTGTGGAGCAGCAGCTCAAATTAGCAGAAAAGAGGTGAAGAGGAAGAACTTTGTTGTGAAATGAGGTAAAGAAACTGAAATTTGTGCTTAAAACAAGTGAAAAAGCTGAACTCTGAAATCCTGCTAAAACAGCAGAAGAGGCTGATATTTTTCAGCTACTCATTGAGCCAAACTGGTTCTCACGTAACTGAAAAAAGGTGGAAAAGCTTAAAATTCTAATGAAAACAGCAGAAGAGGCTGAGTGCACTGTGGAACAGAAGCTCAAATTAGCAGAAAAGAGGTGAAAACAGCAGAAGAGGGTGAGATTTGTGCTGATAAGAGGTGAAACTGCGGAACCAATCAGAGGTACTGCTTCTGTCTGCTTCATCAGGCTGTGTACTTGTATGTATTTCTGCCATAGACTGTTAACCAGAATCTGAGGTCCATATTAGAAAAGCTGCTAAAATCATTAAACTTTGCAGAATTGTAATAAATTATCAATATGAATTACCGGTCTGTGATAGTGTATAAATTTGTAGTTAAAAAAAAAACATGTGGGCCAAGGTGGAATCGAACCCACGACCTCTGGTCTGAAGAGCGGTGTCATTACCAATCGCGCCACCTCTAAGGGGGCGGGCGCTTTGAAAAAAAGGGTGATGAGGAGTCAGAATTAGATCGCGGTGAGACGCGAAAAACGCCGTTTTTTGGAGTTACAAAACGTCGTGTAACTCAAAAACTAGGTGGGATAGAAGCATAATTCTTGCACTGGGTGAATCAGCGGACTTTGGTGTACTTTGACTGCGATTTACATAGCTCTTTGTATCTCCGTCGCGGAGATATGACGAGAGAAGAAACGGCTTCATTTTCGGAATTTGAAAAATGAGAGGAGGACAGATTTCCACCCCTCAAACAAGTCTAACTCATCTCAGAACGGTAATAGGTGAGAAAATAATTCTTGAATTGTGAGTGTCAGGAGTGTCTGAAGATATACAGGGACAAGCCTCATGTCTTAACTTTGCTTCGTTAAGGAGATATGACGATTTGAAAATGCCTTCAGTTTCAGTATTTCAGCTCTGAGTTTCACAACCTCCCCATAGACTTTGAATGGGGAGTTTTTAGACCATGTGTCACTTCGAGGCAAATTGTGAAAAAAACGTAACTCTCACAATAATTATAGTGACACTGTCTTAAAGCCAGCAAAAATACCTACGTTTTGATGTATAATTTGTGGAAGTTGAGTGGAAATTGAGCGAGTAGCAAGGAGTTGTTCAGACATGAAGAGAAAATTCAGAACGGACGAGTGTGCAGTGGGAGTTAATTGCATAGCAACCATAGCAACACATGTATTTTCTGAAAAATCACAAAGTTGTAACTGAAAACTTAAAGAGTCATTACATGAAAACGGTAACAGATATGGAAAAGCTGAATCACACAGGAATAGCCCAATCATCTGAGAACGTTTTAAAGTTTGAATGGAGTTTCTAGGTGAAAGTATGAGGAAGTAGTTAAGTTTCAAAGACAAGCAAGTTTTAGCAGAATTGTAGAAGTTTCCCATTCATTTCAATGGGACAAATTAAAGGAAAAAAGTGTAATATTTTAAAAAGTATAATAGTAATAAGTACCAAAAGATATAGCAGTCGAAAGCAGAAATAGCAGAACAGTTTAGAGTTTGAATGGTAAAAATCGGCTGAAAACTGAGGGAGTAGTTAAGCGGCAAAGAAACGGAGCAACTAGAATAATAAAGGATAAAGAATAAAGAGAAACAGGATCTCAATAGTGTGGATGCCTACGGCATCCACCCAATAAAGAGTTTAGCATCACTACCCAAGAAGCTTTTCAATTCCTTTATGTCTGCCCGGTCTTACAACCTTAACTACAAAGAAAGCACATGAACAGGACACAGTGTGTGTGTGTGTGTGTGTGTGTGTGTGTGTGTGTGTGTGTGTGTGTGTGTGTGTAATTAAAGAAGTATTATTGCTTTGTAGGCAGTACATGACTGATGACATACTCATTGCTTGGCTGCACGCATGCCCTCCAGTTTGTGCTATACTGCGCATGCGCGTTCTTCCCGCATTACTTTATTTGTGTACTTGCTGGGCCTGTTTCTCCAAAATGCTGTGTTAATGATTGCGGCCTATGGTTAACAGCTGTCAACCAGAGCACCCGGTCATATGTGCCAAAGTGAGAGCAGGTTCAGCTTAAAAACAGGAAAATATATGTATGCAAATGATTTATTGTCATCTAATTTTGTCTCATTAGGTTAAGCAAACCATCCCCAAACTATTCATCACTGAACCATGATTAGTAGTGATTACCTGTTTTGCATTGTTTATCCCTCCCCCCTTTCTCTCTCGTATTTGCAACTGTGAAAAAAGAACAATATTGTGCATACTTCAGTGAAACACAAGTCCTTAAGAACAATTATCCATTTCTGTAGACCTCTAGCATGCAATCAATCAATCAATCAAGGCTTTATTCGCCACGTGCAGGTTGCCCTGCAGTGAAAATAGGACCCCCCCCCCCCCCCCACCGACACATAGATATCTACTACAGGAAGCCTTTAACCCTTAACCACATACTAAAACACACATATAAACATGCACATGCACCAAACACCTTTCTATCACTTCAGAGGACTTCAAAGTGAGGTACATTTATTTTCCGGAAGCATATTTAAATTTTTGTTCCCCACATGTTTCACACACACCCCTGCAAACATAAGAGCTGCCTATGACTCACGCTTACATTTGACTTATACAGGCCTCAGAGAAAGATGTGATAGAAAAACTGTGATTAAACAAAACTCCAGGAGCAAAAAAAAAAAAAAAAAAGGAAATAATTAAATGTGTGTATGTGTGTCTGCGAGTGTGTGATTCTCAATGACTGTGACTAGTTTCTGACCCTTTCAGGCATTGATGGATGATCGTGAATATTCGAGATGCCTCTTGGAAAGCCCCTGGCAGAAAACGGGGAGACATCAGAAGAGAAAATACCTCAGTTCTCTGTTCTGAGCGCAGCTTGATCCTCTCACATGTACGTGCACAGTGAATGAATTTAAATCTTCTATGAAGAAGACAGTTTTTATAATAATAGCTTGGAAAGAAAGAGCTGTTGTTGTTGGTTAGCTTCTCTCAGTTGCTTGCAGAACATGCTGTAAAAGTCTTTTGTTTTTCCCACCACACTTATCTGTTTTGGTGTAAATATGTACGTTTGTGCGTGTGTGTAGTACAACTGATAACAGCTGTATCAGCTTTTGCAGAATTTATCAATCAAACACTTCTGGGAAACTATATTTTTGCATTTTTTCTACTGATAGCTTTTTATGTTGCCGTTTTCACAGTGTTGCCTTCTAGAAAGAGATTGTGAACCTCCAATGCGGTTAGCGCTCAGGTAGATTATGGTTTCAGGTAAATAACTGTACAAACTGCTGTTGCTGTTCAATACCAGAAAGCCATCTTTTGCTTTGTGTAATAGGCTTTGATAGCCTCAACACAAAAGTGCAGTTTCGCATGGAAAAATGTTCCCAGTGAGTGATCTATCTAGCATTGCACTTTTAGAACCTCATTTTATTTATGATGCACAGTTCAATAAGAGTTATGGGTTTTCTATTGTGCTTTGTTCTGTTTTGTCAAACCCATGCATGCTCATGCGCTGAAGTAACCACAATGCATGATGACTGATAGCACTGCTGTAGCCACATAACGTCAGAGATGGTGTTCTCATTCCTTACTAACCTCACACACAAAGATTTTTATCTTCACATTTTCAAACTTGCCTTCAGTCCCATCTGACACTGACTCAGCTGATCACCTGAGGCCCTTTTTGTTATGTTCCCTCTTGCTTTCAGTGCTGGACAGCAAATTCTCTCTTTCCCTCCCTCTATCTGATTTTCTTTCATGCTTTTCTGTTTTCTTCTACCCAGTGTGCATTTTCTTGCAAGGGGATAAGTTCTGCCAGGATTGCCAGCTCTCTTAACGGGCATTCCCACTGGTTCTCCACCTGACATACCTGCTGTTGATCAAGATGCTCAAGATGTTGATAATCTCCACTTACCTGAAATTTTTAAGGTCTGGTTTATTCACCCTCTGTTCACCAGATTGCTGCAGCAGTACATGCAGCATCACATTCAGGCACACACCTGTTTCTAGCTCTGTGTTTATCTGGGTATTTACCTTGGTTTTTCCTGTTCCCTAGGGCCCCCTGCTGTATCAGTAAAGTTTGGTTCTGGAAATAAACTTACCTGGAAACCATGCTCATTGTAGGAAAACAAAATGTCCTGCCTTGAAAAATCTATTCCGGGGTCTCCAACTCCAGGCCTCGAGTGCCGGTGTCCTGCAGGTTTTACATGTGTCCTTGGTCCAACACAGCTGATTCAAATGGCTAAATGACCTCCTCAACATGTCCTGAAGTTCTCCAGAGGCCTGGTAACGAACCAATCATGTAACTCAGGCGTGTTGACTCACAGTTATATCTAAAATCTGCAGGACACCAGCCCTCGAGGCCAGGAGTTGGAGACCCCTGATCTATTCTTTAGAAATGTTAGCGAATAAACAAGGATATTTACCAACAAAATGGAAAAATGTGATCTCTGCATGTCATCTTTTCTCTGGTCTTTATCCAGCCAAATCTCCTCACCAAGAAAAGGGATGGAGCCTAACCGGGCAGAGCATAAAGCATAACTCGGTATGCCTAATCCAGCCTTGGATGCCCCCAAGCCTCCTTGGTAACAATGATATGCAACTCTAAAGAGTCTCATTTGGATGTGCTCTTTTTCTAAATTCCTTCATGTATTGCAAAATTTTAACACATACTTGCACAAATTGCATCAGAAACAAATGTGTTGTTATTATGGCTGGTTCTTTCTCTTTGTGTGTCGGAGCTTCAGCATCTCACGAATAACATCTGACTTCTATATGGTAAAAATGTGTAATACCAAAGCACAAGCAAACAAACTGCTGTGACCCTGATTAAGGTGCCACTGCTTTAGTGGCTTTGTATTCACACTTAGGTAGAAGTGTGATCTCTGAGCTTTGAGCTTGAGCTTGAGCTTGCACAGAGATTTGAGAGACTTGCAACTGGCAAAGACTGTCAGAGTTAAGAATGAGTACAAAGGGACAGGAAACATTCAACAAGTCATATAAAAAACAGTTTTATCAGTGAACTGTACTCAAATGAATGTTCATAGAGGTCTGCATGACAAAAACTAAATGACATTTTGCTGTTGAGGAATTCAAATTGCATTTTTTTCCAAATGCTATGTTGAAAACAAGGCTGTTAATTTTAATGGAGTTTTAATGTGACATTAAGTTGCACACTCACCAACCTCTTTATAAGCTACATTTTGCTAACACCAGGTTGGACTCCCTCCTGGCCACAGAGCTGCCTTAATGCTTCATGGCACATGAAGGCCTTATTAGCACCTTTAACAAAATGATGCAAACACCCCTCAGAGATTTTGGTCCATATTTACATGATAACATCACACAGTTGCTGCAGATTTGTCAGCTGCACATCCATAATGCGATTCTCCTGTTATTTTACATCCCAAATGTGCTCTATTAGATTGAGATCTGGTGGCTGAGGAGGCCATTTGAGTACAGTGAACTCAATGTAATGTTCAAGAAACCTGTCTGAGATGATCTGAGCTTTTCAGCAACAATACAACGGTAGGCTTTGGCATATAAATGAGGCTCAGTTAGTTCCAAAGAGTGGCAAGAAAATATTCCCCACACCATGACACCACCGCCACCAGCCTGAACTGTTACAAGGGAGGATGGATCCATGCTTCATGTTGTTTACAGCAAATTCTGACCCTAGTTACTGTTGCTGTCCTATTAGCTTGAAGCTATCCGTCCATTCTCCTCTAAACTTTGACCTCAATAAAGCATTTTGCCAAAAGAACTCACTGGATATTTTTCTCAGACCATTCTCTGTAAACCTTAGAAATGGCTATGTGGGGAAAATCCCAGTGACTCAGCAGTGTCTGAAATACTTAGCCCATCTGTCACCAACAGCCATGCCACAAGTTTCTTATCTTCTTGTTTTTAACATGTTTCCGTGACCAAATGCACTGTGCTTGTGTAGAACAGCTCCACCTAAAGAACAATCGCTGCATGTTATCCAGCTTGTGCTAAATGTTTTGACACAGTAAGCCTAATTACTCATCAAGTCTGTAATCACCCACACAATTTATTACTGCACATGATATGTGTATATGTTAAGTATATCAGTGTGTTGTTGGATGACAGAAAAACCTCTTCATGAGACAGTATGTGTGTGTCTTTTTGATCAACAAAGATTTTAGAACGAGGCAATTTTAACACATACTTGAGACAAAACAGTTTTGCAAAACAGTGCGGTTTGCCTTTCTGCTTTGTGTTTAGCATTTTGACAAAATGAGTCACAACTGGGCCCCTTTTGTTGTTGTTGTTTTTTCTAAACTCAACAACACACCACTTCATGGAAAAAAAAAATGGGGCAGCGTTTCTTGTTTTGGAATCGAAACAACAAAAGTCTGCGATGATGGCTTAAAGCCATTTCCTGTTTCACTCACTGGTGTCTCAGCAAGACTGTTGAGCCTAATTTGAAAAGATGTAAGAGGAGATTGAAATCACAAGGGAATGTTTTATCAAAGGACATTCAAAATGAAGACTTTATAAACTATGGACTGCTTTAAAATTCTTAGCACCGTGGAACCCGAGCAACAATATTTAATTGTTTATAAGCCTCTTAAAGATTATTTCCTCTTCAGCTCTGCATGGTCCCTTGAAAGGGCGTGTGCAGCTCTCAGTGTGCATGCAGAACTCTGCATAATGCAGCCCATCTCCTCAGTCCTAATTCAATCTAACATGCTTTCAGGGTTCAAATGGACATTTCAATGTCATTATATCTTAAAAGCATATCCAGAAATATATTATGTGAATGCCCCTTTGTTAAAATGTCCCCTTTATTCTCTCCTTTTTCCATGCTTTCAAACATAGTTTAAACTTCAGGCAAGGACACTGCTGACTACTAGCATAGGCAGAGGAAATGACATCAATCTGCCATGAGGAACTTCAGTTCCATCCATGTTAAATTTAAGTACAAATAGCTGCATTTTTCTGGAAAAGAAGAAAAAAAATATTGTGGGTTTTTTTTTTTTGTTTGTTTGTTTGTTTTTCTGTCGTTGTGTTTTGAGCCTACTGTGGGCAAAGATTCAGGAAATCGGTGTATACAACTGTGCTAAACTGTATTGAGAATAAAATATTCTCTTAGTCTTTGATTCTCCTCTTTTAGCCTCTCACAGTTGGTAAAATCACCCACAGACACTGAGAGCTGCAGAGCTTTGATGCAGAAAATGAAGAAAATCTTATCTGCAAAGGGAATGTTGATAGCCGTGTGCACACATACAGCAGGTCCTTTAACATCAGCTACACGAAACACTTCACAGCATGTTTTTAATTCACTTTTCTGCCCATGAAAAGGAGCTCGGTGCTCTGCATCTGCTCGGTGACACTTTAGCAGGTGAGTCTGGGGACTGAAACACCAAATCTGCATTTAGTGGACGCCCCATTCTCCCACTTAATCCATAGCAGCACGTTTTTATTTCCTGAAGTGTGTTTTGTTGTTTTATGTTATGTTTTATTGCGCGTTGTGTTCTTTGGTTTTGTTGCTGTGGCTTTAGTTTCACATTGCACAGCCCATTCTCATTCCCACGTTTTGCATTGCAATATATTCAATGATGTGCTTTGCACTTCTCTCACTGAAAATGCCATATTAAATTTGTCTGTGCTGCATTGTTGCTTTGTTTAACACATTAAGTTTAGTTAGGCAGCTCCCAATGGGAAGCATGAAGAGAAAAAGTCTTTTTCCTCTTCTCTCACAGCGTCCTGCATGGCAACAAAACAGGGAGACAAACAAAGGTCAGTGTATAAGCGAGACAATATGGAAAAATACAGAATATCTCCCTACAGTGTTAGAAACAGGGTCAATTAGGGGCATGAAACTAACTTTGTAAACACAAGGAAAATATTTTTTCATGAATTTTAACACCAGTGCTAGCCCAAACACAAGGCCCAGTGCATGTGCACGCTTTCACACACAGTAATACAAAACGCCTCGGGGTGTCAAATAAACACAGAATCTGTTTAAATAGGTAGACTCAAAGGAGATGAAGTTATATATAATTGATGGGTTGCAGTTGAAAAACATTCTTCATTCGCTTTTTTGTGTTCAAAATTCAGTGCGCCGCTGTGTTCAGAGCTCAGACTGTCCTTCTTAATCACTCTTTAATTACTCCTCAGTGGAGCGTGCACACCATTGATGGTTTGTAATCCTGAAATATTGAAATCTTGAAAGAAATAAGAACATTAATCTTTCAGTACGTGAGATACAACAAAGGTCTTTCTGCAGAGGACTTTTATGAACCTAAGCTCTGATCGAAGGACGCGATGCTTAATGATGTAAAAGCCTATTCAAAACTGAAATATATATATATATATATTTTTTTTTTTTTAATTAATACCACTAAAAGCACAAAGTCTGATCTCCTTATGCACTTGTTTATACTATTAATATGTGCATAAATGAATAGGTTCTTATCAAATCAAATCTGAATTCTTTTAAAAGAAGGCCATCCTCTCATTAAAAATGACTACACGTTTCATTGTGTCAGCACCCTCCAGTGACCATTTGAATGCATGTGGAAAACTGAGACTATTCAATCACAAACAGTATAAGGAGCTTGGAAAGAAAAGCGTCTGGACTTCTTTAAGTTTCCTTGAAGACGTTTCACCTCTCATCCGAGGAGCTTCTTCAGTTGGAGAAGTTCAGGTGGAGAGTCCCAGATTTTAAGCCCTATGGGAATGTCCCCATTGGGGATACAAACACTACTTAAGGAGGAGGCTGGAGGGGATGGATTGGGTGACAAAACATTGAACTTCAAAGCAGGAGACCTCAGTTGGCCCTATACTCATAACTGTAGAAACAAAGCACAGCTGCTTCTCTCATTTTTTTTCCTCCTAAGATCTTGTGTCCTCATTTGGGAACATAACATCTGATACTTCATTATGTTCACTAAGGACCTGTTGCATGCCTAAAAAGTGCTCAGTCTCAGCACATTAAAGTATTTTTAACATGTCAGAGTTTGAGGGGGGGTTTTTTTGTTTTTTTTTGGCTCTGAGCGTTGCTGATGTTACAAACCATCAAGAAATAAATACAGAAGGTTCTGTTGAGTCACTTTT